GGTTACTGCACAAAAAGATATATTAAAGGAGGAGGAAGAGAAATAGATTAATGAACAAAAGGTGTGGAGGAAGAGAAATAGATTAATGAACAAAAGGTATCACCACTAAACATGCAACTTCTAGCACCTGAAAGAGTTTCCAATAGGATATCCATTTATTACCTCTGAATAGCTTCACCATTGCAGCTATCTCCTGAAGCAGCAGTTAAAAGGAGGAGCTTCAAGTAGCACCTAGATGCATCCTGGTTGGGAAAAAAAAGTTAAAGTTTAAAGGACATATTCGAATGTAGAGTGACCTATCATTAATCGCGTACATTAACCATAGCATATGGACACGTTACTAAACCTATCTCAAGTGCCAAATCATCATTAGCAAAAACAAAAAAAAAAGGTGCCAAATCATAAGCCTACTTTCACCCCCTTCTATGAGCACCCTCCAGGCCTCCTTTCACAGTTTAGTCTATGGTTTTTCATTAATACACAACAAAGAGGCCACACCAAAGTGCAGTGGAAGGATGGACAGAAAGCTGGGAAAATGTGCACTCCAGAAGGAAACAAAAGACTTCCAAAATGATTAGTTTTTTTCCAAAATCTATGACCTAAGCACTAGAAACAGAACCTGGCGAATAAACAAAGCAGCCATTACTTCCGATCACTGAGAAGAAGAAAAGCGGGCAATATAGAGTACATCCTGTAGCTTGGAACTACTTACCCTGCGTTTGCTTATTCCGCCATCATGATCCAGCAACTCATTAAGTTTCTCTTCGACTGCAAATTCAGATGCAAGTGTTTATTCAATGATACTTCCAACTCTACAGATACCACAAACTTGATAAAAATGATATACCTGCTTCAGCACGAGCATTTGAGGAATCATAAGGTGGTTTCCTGAATTTAGGTTGTGGAATTTGCAATTTGTTGTCCATATCAGATAGTGATGTTAAATTCACAGCACTATTCTTAGATTTTCCCTTTTTAACTGAAGAAGATCGACGAGAAGATTTTGACGATTCATTACTGGCTCCTCCATTGCCTGATTTCTTCCTCAAAGACTTGCTAAGCATTGCATTTGGTGATGGAAATGCCATGTCCAGTGTAGAAGAAACTTTTTCAGCATCTAAGCACTCTTTTTTTACTTCAGATATAGTTTCAATGATCATATCTTCCGAAGGCAAGGAATTTCCTGCAGGTCGTACAGAAGAATGCAACAAGATTTCTAGCCCCTCTATTGCCTCAGATGATTCCAGCTTCTTCAGAGATGATGAAGGGGATTCATTATGGAACTTGTTGATTTCCTCATTGATTTTAAAGCTAAAAACAGCAGCAGAGTTAGCCATTTTGGTATTTTCATGTTCCATTATATCCCCTGTGTGTGTTTGGGTGGAATTCTCCAGGTTTCCAGTAACAGGTTCATCCAGTTTATATTTGTTTTTAGGTGTTTCTTTAGTTCTAATTTCTGCGACATTAAATGAACTTCTTGCAGATATAATGTTGTTTAGTTCATCACCCATGTCACCATCCTCGCAGAAAACAACGGGTTCAGGATAGTCATCATCTGAATCATCCTGCACTATCACTTCTGCATTCAGTAGGTCGCCGCCTATATAGCCCCGACAGTGAGGCGAGCCACAGACACATTTTTTCGCTGCAGCCCCGAAAACACGCACATAATTGTAGTCAAATGTAACCTCCTCCCCCTGAATAAGCAAACCAAAGCACGTATTAGTTGGGAACATAACAGAAACAAATTAAAAAACATTTATATAGATTGCTAATTTTTGACAACTCAAGATGTGATCCATACAGGTGACACAATCAAAATGCCTAGTCAGGAAACAGCTAGCAACTTGTGAAGCAAATAGATTCCAGGAACCAGTTGGATAAGCATGCCTATTTACTTCTTCCCA